TATATATGTAGCTTCAGTATAGATAAAGTTAGTCCTGATTTTGTTTCTACTATTACCCCCACCCCTGCCCCTGTCTATGCTCCAGCAAGTAGCCAGAATGATCACTTAAAAATGTAAACATGAGCCGGGCGCGGTGGCTCAGCCTGTAATCCCGCACCTTTGGGAGGCTGAGGTGAGTGGATTGCCTGAGCCCACAGGTTCGAGACCTCATCTCTAGAATAAATCAAAAAATTAGCCTGGCATGGTAGCACGTGCCTGTACCTCCAGCTACTTGAAAGGCTGAGATGGAAGGATCGCCGAGCCCAGCAGGTCGAGACTGTGGTGGCCGGGAGCGGCCACTGCACTCCAGTCTGGGCGACAGAGTGAGACTCCAACTCAAAAAAAAAAAAAAAAATGTAAACATGATCATGTCCTTCCCCTGTTTAAAACCTTTCAACAATTTTCCCATCACATTTTGAATAAAATCTACAGCTTTGTCACAGTCAACAAACCCAGAACTGCCCCCTGGATGCCCGTCCAACTTCATCTCACTATTTTCCCTCTTGTTCATGCTGCAGCCATACCAATTTTGTGGTTTTTGAGTCAAGCATGCTTTGTCTCAGGGCCTTTACTCTTGCTGTTTCCTGTTGAGACCACTCTTCACTTGCTTCATGTCTCTGCTCCAATGTCCAGCCCTCATAAAGACCTGACCTGACTACTCCTGAAATAGTAGATCCCCTCCAACTCTGTATTGTGCTTTTGTTTTCTTCATAGCTCCTGACAGTGTCTGACAGCGATATTTATATATTTGTTTGTCTGTTGCTTGTCTCTTTTCACTACAGCATAAGTTATTTTAAAGGCATTCATTGTTACCTGCTGTTTACTGGGAACAGTACTTGGTGCATAGTAAGAGCTTAATAAATATTTATTGAATGAATGAATAATTTAAATGGGGGGAAATGTGCAACACTATGTGATTGCAATGTTACAATGTATAAAAAGGAGTGATAGGTAATACGTATAATGCTGGCATATGCATATTCTAGTAGTTACTCTGGGAGAAGATCTGGGAGATAGGCTGGTTAGACAGGAAGGACACCTCATTTTCACTGTATGCTCTTTTTTTTAAATGGCCCTGAAAAGACCCTTTGGTGGTTGAGCTCGACTTTACTCGAGTTGCTGCAAACCAAGCTAGGCTGTTACTTGCCCTTGGCCTTGTGGTGACTCTTGATCTTCTTGAGCAACAGCACAGCCTGGACATTGGGCAAGACACTGCCCTGGGCAATGGTACTTGGCCCAACAATTTATTGAGCTCCTCAACATTGTGGATAGTCCTGTGTCTAGATCATTTTCATTTTTATTTACTTATTTTTGAGTCAAAGTCTAATTTTTGTCACCCAGGCTAGAGTGTAGTGGCATGCTTATGGCCACTGCCGCCTTGATCTGCTGGGCTTAGGTAAGCCTTCTGTCTCAGCCTTCCAAGTAGCTGGAACTATAACATGCGCCACCATGCCTGGCTAATTTTTTGATTTATTGTAGAGATGAGGTCTGGCCAAGTTGCCCAGGCTGGTCTTGAACCCCTGTGCTCAGGCAATCCTCTCGCCTCCACCTCCCAAAGTTGGAATTACAGGTGTGAGCCACCGTGCTCGGCTTAATTTTTTATTATAGAGAAAAGGCCTTGCCAAGTTGCCCAGGCTGATCTTTTGCCTCCTGTGTCAGGCATTTCTCTGTCTTCACCTTCCAAAGTGCTGGGATTACAGGCACGAGCCACCACGCCCAGCCTATGCAGTATTTTTAAACCAGTACTTATATTATCTTTTCAAACAATATATGGGCAAAACAACCTCATTTTGACAATGGACTTGGAAAGGTGAGAGAAACTGCCTTGGGTGTCGGTGAGTCCCCTGCCCTAGAAGAGATGTTGCTGAGGGGTTCCTGCCCAAGGTGGGAAATGAGAGTAGGTGATTTCAAAGACCTGCTTTCTCCTCCTTTACCAACTAGGGAAGGCACACTTAGCCATTCAGGGCCAGAACTACTAAGCGATGGGTGAGACATTTAGGAGGACAAATGCTCACAGGTAAGAAAGAGAAAAACTGTTAAACTGGCAGCTAGCCCCAGTGTTTCTAACTGCACATAAGCAGTGGCACAAAATAAAAACAAATATCAGACAAGACTACTCTCTAGTTGGAACATGACAGAGACAAGGCCATGCTGGTACCACAGATATGACTCATCATCCTCCTTTTCTGACTAACATGAGTGGGTCTTGCTTCTTTTCCAAGGACAAATCTATCCTTGCTTTAATCCTCCTACCTCTTGCATAAAAATTATTAAGTCACTGAACTGCCCCCGCCTCTTGATTGTGTTCAGTCCAATACTGCTCCCCATTTCCTTCCTTTAACCGTCTTTAGAGTTACCCACCACAAACAGAAATCCTAAAATAAACTCTCTTCAGCTACCTCTTACCAAGACACCTAATAGTTTCTCTGATGTATGTTCTTCTTTGCTGAACAAGCTAAATAACCTAATTCTTTTTTACTGCAGTTGTGTTCCTGGTGGAATTTGATCTACAGGCTTTATGACAATCTTAGCTGTCTTCAGCCCAGCCCAGCAATACTCAGACAGGAAGAAGTAAGAATTTTAGTTTACAGGAAGAAGTAAGAATTTTAGTTTTCATTTTTTTGAGGCAAGGTCTTACTCTGTTGCCCAGGCTGGAGTGCATTGGCGTGAAGATAGCTCACTGCAGCCTTGACCTCCTAGGCTCAGGTAATCCTTCCACCTCAGCCTCCTGAGTTGCTGAGACTACAGGCGCATGCCACTATGCCCAATAAAATTTTTTTTTTTTTTTTAGTTGGAGTTTCACTCCACTGCCCAGACTGGAGTGCAATGGCCGCTCCTGGCCACCGCAGCCTCGACCTACTGGGCTCCTGGATCCTTCCGCCTCAGCCTTCCAAGTAGCCGGAACTACAGGCGCAAGCTACCACGCCCAGCTAATTTTTGATTTATTGTGGAGACGAGGTCTCGCCAGGTTGCCCGGGCACACTTCTAAGCCTTTTCTGTGCATTAACAAACACAATCCCCACAACCCAAGGGCACACACATCAGGATCACCCCTATTTTGCAATAAAAAACAGTCACTGGCTGGGCTCGGTGGCTCAGCCTGTAATCCCGCGCCTTGGGAGGTTGAGGTGAGTGAATTG